TATATATTATTAGTAATAAAGCAAAGATGAAATTATTATGAACATTTTTTTATAAAATATACTATTTTATATTTATAAATACGCATGAATTTTTTATTTTTTATCAAATTTATAAGATGTATTTTTACAGAAAATTCGTATCAATATAATTAATCAAATAAATGATCAAAATAATGATGACTATATGAGTCTTTAATTTCAAAACAAGAAAGATTATATTTTCTTTTAAGTTTACTTGATTATGCTTCTGAATCTGCTTATAGCCACCGTTGCTTATCTTATTGAAATCAGTACAATCTCTAGCTGCAATTTTACTGACTCCGACTATTTAATTCAACGCAACTATGTTGCGTCCTTAAGACTCATCATCGCTGTCTCATGTGGATAATAGCAACAAAATGCACATAACTACGTAGTATATTTAAATGAAATCAGCAGTGACCATTTAGACTTATCGGTTACAACAGGTATTCTCGCGCGACAGTGTCGCGTAGCAATATATTATAAGCGAAAAATTACACATCGCACAAAAATATTTTCCTGCTGGCATCGATTGAGAGTGCATCGATAAGCATTTATAAATAATCAAATATTTCCTGTTTATTTCGATACGTCGGCTTGGATTTGGTCACGGAAAGCTGATCTTGCCATAGCAACAAAATGGTCAGCATTTTTTCGCTGCGTTCCATCGCGTCATGTCTCATCGTCGCGGCTATTTACTCGCACAAAACGTTCACGCGTCCATTTTAGGCGCGCGCTTGTCGATGCTAATGCAAAATTTCAACTTATCGCTCGTTCGCTAAAGATAATATTTATCGACACTTTATCGACTATTATTTGCACGCGAGCATTTATTATAAATAATCTGCAGATTCCACACACGTAAATTCCCCCGGCTCGGTTTACATCCATGCAATTTTTCATTTCTCATAACAATAAATTAATTTCAATCCCTTTTGCTTTCTTCTCTCTCTCTCTTCTTCCTTCCCTGACTTTTCTCTTTCTCTTTGCATCAATGATATATATTTTTAAAATTCATTATCATAATTTCTATGAAGTTAGCAATTTGTACCATCATTTTCAAAAAATTTTGATATATATAATTAATAGATTTCTGGCTCTCCTCCAGAGTTTCAAAATTTCTAATATGTTTCAAAGAAAGCTCTGGCTATTAAATATTTTTGAGATGCTAATTTAACAATAATATTTTATCATATTTAGTCTCAAGATACATCAATCGTTAGTTTTTAAAAATTTATAAATTGTGAAGTAAGAGACACTAAAAATATCTTTTATAATTAGTATTTTAAATTATGTTGATAAAAGCTGCAATTTTGAAAATATTTCCCAGTTCTTCAACTATAAATTGAAAAAATAAAGAATTCTTGAGTAATGCGGAATCTTCCAACCGACTAACGCGAGATAGATTAATTCCTCTTTGCTATCTTTAAAGCATAAATTTAAACCAATTAATATTCATGTATAATAAGCAGAGTACGCGCAGCAAGTACTAAATCAGTCAAGGAAATTGTCTTGACTCTTTATTCATACACCGATATTTACATCGATTAATTCTCACATGCTCGCGGTTGCGGAAAGGCGAGCGCGTCGAACGTTTCTTCGCGCACAAATTCTCCGGGTATACCGTAAATTCTCCCGAAAAACGCGCCGAGGCCGGCGCTATAGCCGCGTGTAAATCGCAGACAGGCGACATTAAGTACAAGCGCTCGGTAGCGCGATTTTGATTTACGGCTAATTGCTCGGTATTTTTCCAGACTTCCTAACGCGCTTTGCATCTCATGAATGATAAAGTCATTTTCGCGCCGGCCTCGACACCGGGGAACCGAGAGCGCGTTAAATTCGCGGAGGCGAAAGGGTGGAAAATATGTCACGCCGCCTCCCGCATATCCGCGTTTCTCGACGAGCTCATCAGTGTGCGTGAGGAGTGCGTGTACACGCGTGCGATGCCACGTGTGTGTGCACGTGTGCGAGTCCGCTCGCTCGTTTTCACATTCGCGTGAAAGCCGCACGCTACGCCACGAAGAAACGATACTGTTAGCACCCACTTCGGGAAATTTCCGCTCGTTAGAGAGCGTCGAAAGGAACCGATCTTTCATAGGCTTTCCGCGAGAATTACGTGTACACCCGGTATAACTGCCCCACATGATATATTAATTCATTTGCATTCGCTCTCGTAATCCATGAGCGTACCGCATTTGCCGAGTTCCCTTTCTTAAATGTCGGCCTTTCTCTTGCGCTGCGCATAACTA